ATTTGCTTAAGTCAGTTTTGATACCTATTAATTAATATATTTTTTGTTATGTTGTGTCTAAGGATTCCTATGTAGATAAAGCATACTGTACTATTAATATAATATTTTTTGTTATATTCTTTTTATGAAGACAATAAAATCAAATTAAGCCTAAATTACTTAGGCACATCCCCCGCCACAAAAAACTGAATTGATTCAATTTGTGTAGTAAAATTGTTCTTGGTAGACAGTAGTAAATAGTTGCTATATAATTGTGGATGGCTATTCTTGATTTGTCTTCATGGTCAGTTGTTTATGCTGGGTCGATTCATTGCCAACATTATTGTCTCAATATGCCTATTACAATATAACATCATCGTATTTGATTCACAATACTCTGTGGTTATTTTGCTGTCGATAGTACCCCAGGTTGAGGAAAAGGCTTCCTGTCTGTGTGTGTGGTGTGATAGAGAGACGATTAGTGCTTCTCAATTAAGTAAAACATACCATACCATTTTTAACGTTATATGTAACCACACACGTACCTTTAAACAGATTCGGTGCAATTTTGACTACTAATACTTGCACCACCATCCCTGAGATCCCCTTCGTTATATATGTAGGCTATTCATCAGCTTCGACAGAAACTTAATAGGCCTTACTGAGAACTCGTATTTGTTGTTTTTGCACAGAGTTGCACATCCTTAAATTTCTTTAAGCTGTTTACGCTTAATGACACAACCATACTCTATGTATCACAAAAATATGCCTGAAACCGGCTCAGATTTATCATTTGAAGAACTTTTGTCCAACGCCATACTTGCAAGTGGAGTGTGTTGTTTACTATTTACATTGGACAAACGGCATAGAAGGTAGTTTGTGATTGGCTGAGGGCCTTGCAGCTAAGCCAAACTTTATTGTTAGTCGTCTTCTGATTGGCTATAGTTACGTAGCGACTTTTGATATAAATTCTCATTTTTGGTTACAGTTTCCCCAAATTCACGATTGCCGACAATCAAATTATGTTACAATTTATTAGTATTGACATTTTTGTGCAAAAGCCAGGTAGCCCGGTTTGGTGGGTCACAGAATTGAACGTTTTCGATCCTCAACCCACTGTCTAAAACAATTCATGATATTTTTGCATTGAAGTATTGAATACTGTAGTTTTGTTAGTGTTATAATTACTTTCCAATCCAATCAGAACATTTGTAAAACGCCTTTCTTTGCAGATACTTTAAACAAATGATTTTTTTTTTAATCTTTCAGATCCTAAAGATATATTTTATACTGGATTAAATGGTCATCCAAAGGGAAGTATTATAACATTAGGTACCTCTCCCATGTCTGGAATTCGTCAAAAATTGCAACATAGAATCTCTGTAGTACTTTAATGAACATGAGCAACGAAAAGGACCCTCTATTGCCTGGCAATACTACAATACAAAAAAATGAACATTACAATTCTTTTCCGTCATTGAATGATGAAGATGAAACAAAAGTAATTGGTGGATCTAGTGTCAACACATATCATCGGAGGTGGTACATTTTAACTTTGTTTTCGTTCCTTGCCTTTACTCAGGCTTCATCTTGGAATACTTGGGGTCCTATTGCGGACACTAGTAAGTCTTTGTGTTGTAGCTTATTAAAGTATGTTAAAAAAATGCTAAGTTGCATAGCACAGTGAAATTTAGAAATTATAGTCAGTCCAGATAGTCTATTTTGTGAATATACGGTACTTACCTGGATAAACCGACTAATTGCCATTGTTACTTGGAGAACACCCCTATGACAAAAATAGAACCGACCGATTGTTCCAGCATGTGACTGCAACCATACCTAAGCATTGTGTTCAATCCTTTTTTGTCGGTCAATGAGCGACGACCACACCCAACAGTTGTTGAATAGTCTGGGTATTTTTCTTTAAATCGTTTTACTATTCTGTAGTACTTTTAAAATTAACCTAATTTTGAGAGTTAATGGCTTTACTGTACATTTGTATAGCCAATGCATTTATAGTAACAAAGTTGCTTGATCCCTGGTTAAGGTTTCCAATTAATTAAAGCTTTTTAACACATTTATAAGCATTTTACACTCTTTTTTGGTGGGATAGGCAGCAGAAATATATTTTTGGAAACAAAGCTGATGCTAGATTTCCAAGATTTTAGGCCAGTCATGCTTGGACAACTTTGTTTTTTTGCCTCAATGTGAGGTTAAGTTGTTCTTGCCAATCATGTTTAAAATCTATATTAAAAACATTTTAAATTCTTCAAAGTAATTTATCATATCATAGTACCTTAGATGTAAGCTCACCCCCTATATCACGCCCAATTTTGCTTGAGCAAATGCCTAAGGTATGGTTTGAATGAGTAGCTTAACTACTTTTACAAATACTATAAAAAAAAAATATTGGCTTTGAACTAGGACTGAAAATTTTCCTTTTGGTAGAAAAGGGGATTCCCCAGTATAAGTCCACTCCCAAAAATCGGCCCAATTTTGTGTTCAAGTGGGTGGGCTTACCTTAGGAATTACAGTAAAATAAAAAATTCTTAGTACAGATATCCACATAATTAAAAATGTTAAAATAGTAATTAAAGCATAATTGGTACTGTAAGTGATAGTGTTTCTAAATATATGTTTGTTCGTTTTTTATTTTTTGTAGCAAAAGCAGTTTTAAAATGGACAGATGGAGATATAGCACTACTAACAAATTGGGGATGCATTATGTTTTTGTTGACTGCTGTATTTTTTTCATGGTTATTAGATGTCAAAGGTCAGTGAGTTCAGTATTGTGCATTATTCTTAAGCATTATACATTGAACAGCACTCATATATCATGCATTATACATCAAATAACTCATACTTAGAGTTAAGTCTGGTGGCGTGGAACTTTGGCTGCCACTGGTCGCCAAATTTCCAATTTGAAAGTTGATAAGGACAAGTATAGTATTTTTATTATTTTCATTCCACCACCTATATCTGTTCTCGTGTTTACCATCCATTTCTCACACATAACCAAAGATTATTTTCTGTCAGGATTACGCTGGGCGATATTGACGTCAGCCACGATTCTCCAGATTGGACTGATTACGCGTTGTATACCAGTCGGCATTGATAACATTAAGTGGTATGTAGAATGTCAGAACCTAAGCCAAAATGCCTTGCAAAATTTATTTTGAAACATTGTCAGAAGATTCAAGAGGTAGGGGATGGGTGGGTGGGGGAATGTATTCTCGTTTAGCAAAATAGAACTGTACTGCCAAAAGCATTTAAGAAGAAAGAAGAAAATATAATTTTATTGACATAATAAATAAGAGTGTAAAATTTAAGATAGAATTGAGGGCAGTGTTTTTAATATGGATGAACATGTACTATAGGCATACCAGTAGCCAAAAAAGAAACAAAGTGTAGTAAAGTAGAAAACAATATTTGTATTAATGATAACATAATTCCAGTAGTATTAATTATAAAAATTGTTTGAAGGTTTGCATGGCGAAGTAATGAAATATATTAATGCATGGGTACACCATGTAGATAGTTCTGAAAAGAACTGTTGTAGGTTGAGAATTTCTCAAGTAATAATAATAAAGTTTTGAATTTTAATGCTTTATTTTTTAGATTAAAACAAATTTAAAGTTAAAAAAAAGTCTGTTGTAATTCAGGCAATCATGATATGTTTTGTATTTTAAATATTCCAAATAGGATAGTATAAAAATAAATAATAAAATGAAATAAAATTCTATATGTCATATGGTGATCATGTAAAATAATTGAAGTTACAATGTTGTCATAATGTAAGTAGCCTGATGTTTAAACTCAAACAAAGCCTTCTTCATGCATTAAAACAAATAGGCCACCTAAAATTTAACTCTCACATTTTTTCATTAGCTCAACCCGCCCTCGATAAACTAACGTTAGGTTATCTCACTATATTAATTGGATTAACACATTATCAAGGAAAAGTACTGAGTGTTTAACACTGGTGTCCTTGGATTCAATTATAGGTA